TCATCAGCCCACCCGTATGCACACTACACAACTCATAGGTCACATCACGTTTGGATTCTACTCAATTTCCCCTCATTATTCCCTACAGTCAGCTCTAAACCAGTGGCTTCCACTGCCTCTAGTGCCTCCAGGGTACCCTCCATTAAGATATTATTACTATTTGTTGTAACCAGATATGACATTTGTTATCCTACACTGTAACGTCCCCAGAACGGCTATTGTGAACAATGGCTCGACCAGGTTTGATGACATCACAGTGCCGGATGATGAATGATTTATCTGACTGAAGCTTTGTTGTCCCGTCTATTTGTTCGAGCCATGAAAGGTCTAATCACCTTCGACTTAATCTCTGGAGGAATGGTAGCCCTATCTGATCCTTCATGTTTTCCTCTAAGAAATGTAAGTAAGCAGTCAGAGAATAACAATGAACAGAAACAAGCTTAAAAAAAAACTTATTATTAAATTCACAGGTTTTGAAAGGTTTACAGAGGGCAACAACAACAATAACAACAACAACAACAAAATCCAATTAAGGTAAAACATGAAATGATAATTCACATGAAATCAGAACTATCTCGGAGGCCAATATTACCTAGAGTAGCTATGACGAATTTCACATTGCATTGCTTTGCGCAGGCAAAACTTACGCTAGGACCAGCAGCGGCATAAAAATCAAATGCGGGTCGATTACTAAGCTATTCTTCTCGGTGATTTGAAATTAAGTTTCTGCACAAGCTATGTAGAGGACCACAATCACTGCACAGCCACAAAAAACAGAAAGCTGGAACGATGAAAGCAGTAGCAAACACATAAAGCAACATTTTTACCCGAGTAATAACAATCCCAAACCGTCTAATGGTTCCCCATTCTGAATTCCTCTCACAACGCTGCTTTGGCTAAAAAATCAAATGCTTCGAAAAAGCGGTACATTGAAAAGAGACAGCTTCTGAAAGGGCGTCAAAATACAGTCAACACTTGCAAAGAAAGAAAAGTCAGAAAATCGCAGAAGGCGTGGGAGTATGTTGACACAGTTGCGGCTCATAGACCGTAAAGTCAGAAATTTCGTCTTGAATTTGCTCACGAAAACTAATTATCGTTACGAATGCCCCCTCTCCACTACAAATTTTCACAGGAGTCACTACTTGCCCACTTGAAAGTGGCCATGCTATGTGGCTGAGCTTGAATCCGCTTCACGAGCTCATTCATGTGTCTATTGAAGCTTTGTGACGGCATGCATAGGCTCCACCTTTTCCTTTGACTGGAGATCCTATAACTCCAGCAGGATTCTCAGCTCTGTTCGTAGCAGTCGACGATGTGACCATGCCTCCTTCTGTCATCTTCTGAAAACAGTACTTCGAACACATGGACTGACATATCGTAAAGGAGGATTACAATTGATGTGCAATCGTTGTCTGATCAATTTTACATTGCATAGGTATGTAAGAGTCTTTCTTAGCAACTTCTTACCGTATTTTCAAAAGTGATCCTTCACGATCATCTGCTACTGTACCCTTAAACGGAACCCTCTTCGCCATTTAATAGCTATATAATAAAGTTCACTTGAAAGAATCAAGACAATCGCGCTCATACATGCTAATCTAATCGAACCAACCTCAATGGAATTGCTCCAAACATCATTAACACCACCAGCCGGCTGTATCGCATCAATCAAGGCTCGCACACGGTGTTCCGCAGCTATTAACTGCAAAAAATCTCTGTTGCCATTAAACACTTTGGTACAAACTTGTTCAAATGCAACAGTTTTGCAGCGATAGCGGATCAATCTATAAAAAACGTCCTTGACTGAAAGCTAATCGACATCATTGTATAATCGAAACCTGTTCTGTTCCTATCTGGGAGCTTCAAAATATTTTACTACTAATAATAGCCCAAACCACAACCAGCCGCGATTCAAAATTTAGAAAACTAATTCTGTTCAAAATGTGTAAAGCAACCTGAAATGAAGTGAAGTCCTATTCAAAACCCTTTGGTAAGGCGGAACTACCAGATCTTTGAACCAGGGTAATTGTTATAAGCAAAGAAATAAATCAGTCTAGCCCACCTTAGAAAACTGTTGATCGCTTCCTTCATTATTTCCTAACTGGATGTTTTCATTTGGCTCTACCTTAACGGATTTCTGTAGAAAATTGTTAAAAGGAATACGAGAGCATTATGGAGCATATTCTGAGAATAGAAACGCCACCGTCTGCTAGGAGCTACAGAAACCATGGAAGATTCACAATTTTTACCATCGGAGGGCTCCCAATCTGCAGAATTAACTGCAAACTGATATACTCGAGCATACCCGAGTTATACCAATAGTTGAGCCAAGGTTATGCAACAATTTGAAACTGTCACCTTGCTGAGATTAGGAGCTTCGCAGATGGGAACTGCGGCAGCAGCTTCAGCAAGAGCATATTCATCCGAAATACACTCATTATAGGGTAGATTGTATCTGAAAAAGAAAAAAAGCAAAAATAAAAATAACGCTGTGGGGAATGTAGTTTCCACCGATTCTGAGCCCAGGAAATGAACTAGAGTGGCAAAAGATGAGTACATGACAGAGTACTGTATGATGTAAGTAATGTTCGTTTTGTGTTCACGAAAAAAAGGACAGACACAAATTACAAATGATACTAAAGGCAGACGGAAGGTTATATTGGTCAGCATTTTTCCACCTTCTTCACCGACTCACAACAGCTATTTTTGAACCGCCTAATTAGTAGGCATAAACTCGAATCTTCGCACTGTTCTGATCTTACCTGCTGGGGCTATCTGAGAAGATCATGGAATTGTTCGGCTTCACGTGAAATGGAGTGCTCGGGCAGTACCCTTCAAATCTTGACGAATCTTTATAAAACGAAGAAGCATGGTTGAATGATGAGGTTGATAGGGAGTTCCATAGGTGTGGTTTTCATGAAATCCATGTATTCCGTTGTATTCTCGCCATTAATTATAGCAGAAGTCAAATTTGAAATAATAAATAAAACGCACTGGCACTTTCAAGACAGTCGGTGTGCGCACTGTCAGCATAAAAAGACGGTACGTTCATTCTTGGAGGTGTGGAGGATGGAGACTGCAAGCCGAGATTGGCTAATCCTTAAACATTGAAATAACTACTTGCGGAGGAATTGTTGAAGGAAACTTTTGTTACATTATCTCTTTAAAATTGTCCTTAAACTACGTCAATTCTGAATGAAGTTAATTAATTGCTAGTGTAGATTACTGAACAAACCTAAAGCTATCGATCGTACTGGAGGAACAAGAGTGGCTTTCGCGTAATTCCTTATTCGATCCAGCTGAGTACAAAACTGAAGAGGAGTATAAAATCAAGATGATTCGTATATCAACATCAGTTTGAGATTGAAAATCCTACTATTTCCATATCTCTGAGATTCGAAAACCCGAAACCATAGGCGGGTGCAGATCTGTCGAATTTATTGAGACTGAGACGTACAAACTTCCTACTCAGGCAAGTAAATGTAAAGCTCGCTGACAATGGAACGAAGTCGAAAATAAGCTGCAATAGGATAATGTGCAAAATAATACGATGTAGAAAAACACAACTTATAAGTCAATGGTCTAGAAAGTCCTCGAGAAGGATGAGGCTTGTTTCGTGAGAATCAAGATCCAATCACCTCGAAAATACCAAACATGTATAGATCTTTTCTCTTTTTTTTCCAAAAGTATGTGTCCTAACCCATCTGCCTAGACATAGACGGCGCACACTATGGACATGAACTCAGGAAGCAAAGAACCTTGAGCAGAGGGCGTAAATACACAGTTGGTCTCTACCCTGAAATTCCAGAGTCGAGTGTCATGACGCTATGTTAGCAACCATGTTCCGTATTTCTACTCTGCACGAATCCCCTGACGTCTTGGTCTCACTATTTTCGGTAAATGGGCATTGATATGACGACGTGCTCTCTCCAATGCAAAATGCAGCCCGACACCCTTTTTCTAATTTCTTGCCCTTTATTCTACAGAGTCAGAGTAAATTAAGTAAAGCGCATCTCTCCGATCGAACGATGAAAAATTTCATTAAGAACCTGTTTGAAAAACATACCTCATAACGATTCCGCGCAAGTAACTTGTCCATATTGTCAAGAGAATCATGAAACAAATGGACAAGTATCTCATGACTCGTCATCTCTCTCCATTCTCGACCATACATTTGAAAAATATGCGCTGAGATAGTTTCTAACCGTTGTAATCTGTAATGNCTCTCCATTCTCGACCATACATTTGAAAAATATGCGCTGAGATAGTTTCTAACCGTTGTAATCTGTAATGATAGAAGTTATTTCGCCAGAAAGAATTCAGATAGAATTGGCCATTTAAAAATGAGGATAAACTCCTAGTAATTCAGATTTGCACCTTCCAGATGTCAACAGTTCATCGATTTCTTGTCGTACAAGTTTTGCATCCACGTTTGTCATAACCGCTATAAACAGTACGCAGAACAAGTATTAGGAAGTAAACAAGCCGGTAACAAAGAAGGAATTCGATAAGAAAATGTAAATTGGCAAACAGGTGATTACACAAAAAAATAACTTTTTTTAGAGTGTGGATATACCAAGAGCGATGCCAGAAAGAAGGAAGTCAATTAAAAAAGAGATATACGCCAGAACGGAGCAGTTAAATAGCATGGAAAATATTCTGCCAAAAAAAAATCTCGAAGGAAGCCTGAGTTTTTAGGAAAAACAGAATCAAGCAGTGAGTGAACCATGATTATTGGTTGACNAAAAAAAATCTCGAAGGAAGCCTGAGTTTTTAGGAAAAAACAGAATCAAGCAGTGAGAGAACCATGATTATTGGTTGACGCCTTTCTTATAATGAAGCGAGACGGGCATTCTGAACACGTTCGATCTTGACATGGCGCCAGTAGTATCGATCGCCGCACGCATGGTTTCTGCGTTGCGGCGGTAACTTTGGACAATCTACGATCGATCGTCAACGGCAGCTTTCTGCAGACCTCGGACTGTGAATGCAGCATTATCTTCGCGCGCTCAATATTTTTCCTTCACTCAAATGAACTTTCTTGTCGAACTCACACCTATAATTTCCAAGACCGCCCATACACTATCTCTCTAAACAACTCAACTGGTTTGTTCACCTCCGGAGTACCCTCCCGCTTAACTTCATATATGGGTTCAAAGCTGTCAGTAATTTAGAGGAAGTTCTCCAATCGGCTATGATGAAATCCTTTGCAACAGGTGAATACAACTCGAATTTTCGTGCAACCTTTTTGAAAAT